TGGACAAAGTAGTCATTACATTTAGACTTTATAAGCTTGAAGTCCTCTATTTCTTCTTCTTGTACGTTTAGCGACCGAAGAATCTCCCTGAACGTCCTACCCATAGTATATAGAAGAGTCCTTACTTGAACTTCGTCTGTTTTCTGATGTAGCCCGGGCACGAATCGGTCTTCATCAAATTCTTCCATGCAGGAGAACCAGTGCACTGCATTCTAGAAGCCGAAGGGCTTAGGAGGCTTGAATCCCGCCATTCTGAAGCGTTGTCGCCGATACGGCTTATTCTCATAGACGCAGCGTCCAGTCGTTCGCTTCTTGGCGGTCTCGTTGAAGCGCTACTTAGCTACTTCGGAGCCACTTGTGACACCATGTCAAGCTCGTCAGGATGATCGACAGACGCTCATTCCATCTTGACCTACAAAATAAGCCCTCTTTGATGTTTCGTCATGAAATATATGCAGTCCGAATCATAACATGACTCCCGTGATAACCCTATGATGGAAACAAAGATAGCGAGTGTCTCGGTGCTTGTTTCAGGAACAGGAGACCATGGAATGCAGCAGGATGTCACATTGGCAAAGAACAAACGGGATGTGGCGAGTACCAGAAAGCGCGCCAGCATAACTCATCGCCGACAAAAAGCCTATGTGTGTGGCATAGCGCCGCTTTAAGCCTACTGCATGCTTTTAATCGCTGGCGGCTACACCCGAGAGTTCTGCAACGCCGATTGCTGCCGCCTCAATCATTGTGCGGGATCGTGTTCAGCGTCCACCTCTTTTCAGAAACTAAATGGCGCGCTGTCGCAGAGTTGAGCGTTGTGAATTGCAGGCACCCTGAGACATGTACACCTTTCTTAAGGCGACAGCCCAAAATGTGCCTCTGTCTGCTGCCAAGACCCCTACAGCATTGCTTTCCTAAAGCTTGCATCATCGCGTTAAGAGCGCGTTCACACTTGGCCTCGAAAAGAGAGAAACTGGCGAAGCTCTCGGGAAACTAGCTCGATTCGCCGCCCAAGCGGCTGGAAAAGCACGCCCTGCGACCGACGCACAAGAATCGGTCAGATTTTCCCACCACGGGAAACCAGATCCGGTTTCCACTTCACAGCCTTGGCTGCGCTAGATCAAATCACGTGACCTAACCAGCCGGCCGCAGATTCGACACGGTGGCACAGGCGTCGGCGGCACTATATGGTCCGCGGTAGCTCGCATCAGCTCAAATCTCGAACTACCGTGCAGGGCGAAGAAGCTTGATGACCTCAACGAGGACTCATTCATCGAGAGCCCGATTTGGATTACGACCGTCGAGAACTCTGGAAGTGGACGGCGCAGAGCAGCGAGTCGGCATGCCCCAACTTGTCTCTCTTTTGTGTACAGCCGGTTTAAACCGTGCCGCCGCTGCCAGTACATTTGTTCGTGTCGTTTTTGCTGGTGTATCTCCCGAAACAAGGTTTGAAAGCGCTTGCACTGTTTCTTTTCATTACTTTGTATCAATAAAAGAATAAGAATTTTAGTTCTCACAATGCAGGCAAAATCAAATCAATTCTCAAGTTAGTGACAGCAACGGTGACGGAATGGGGCAGAACAAATGTGAACATCAGCGGGCACGGTTGTGGTTTTTCGGCCACTCTGGCAGTTTTTTTTTCACTTCCCAAGTGTGAAAGTGACCTAACGCAACAGGCTTCTCGTCGCAGCTGTGCACGGTCTTCCATGGAGTGGGCGCAAGCGCCTCAGCACGGTGTGTACATCAAGTACGTGAGCCGCTGCATGCAACTAGCCAGTAGACGATTGGCTCCCACGGACCATACAGTGTCTGTAAAACCTGTGTCGGTTTCCACTAAGTAGCATCATCGTGATACAAATTTATCACGGATAGTCAATCATGTCGGTTCCTGGCTATGTTGGTCGCTGCGTATACCGGACTCTGGAGTAGTTTCAAAATACTTTTCGGTGTTGCCCCCCCTGCCATCGAACGGTCATATGAAAATGCCAATCATTTCTGGACATTGCCAAAAAAAGAAAAATGACTTCGACGTGGGCACTTTAGGCAGTATTTGCTGTGGCACTGTAATTTTCCTGTCTTAGCGGCGATGGTGAGTTTAAAGGAATGAGACCGAGGACTGTGCGCAGTACTAGTCATTTGCATTCATTTGCAAAGTTAGCCCCTTACATTGACATGATCGGGAAGGGGTGCTGTGAAGAACCTTCGGCACCCCCCTTCTCTGTCCCTGAAGGGAACCCTATGCACACTTGAGCACATTGTGGCTAATGCATACTACATTTAGTGTGTATATAGTTAGCCGCATTCACGGCAAGTTTCGGGCATCTTTGTGCGTGTGTGTGCGTGTGCGTGTGTGTGCGTGCGTGTGCGTGCGTGTGCGTGTGCGCGCGCACATGTGCGCTGCTTTGAGTTTTATGCTATGGCTAGCTTGTTGGTTCAATATCTTTCACTATCTTATGTCGCCGCAACTGTACATAATCTTACTTTTGTTTATCTTTTATGGTTATATTACGGACTTGTTGCTTCTGTATAAATGATTAAGTAAACTGACGGAACATTATACGAAAGTAAAGCTTCATTTTTTTTCTCTGTGTTTGTCATGGTAAGCCTGTGACTGCTCCAAACACAGTGGTAGCTGCTCCATTCAGATTTTGCCTGCTCTTATGGCTGCTCCAAAATGCTGGAAGGCATTCCCACCTCTGCACTGGTGGCTACGTTTTTTTTGAGAATGAACTTCATTGTTCGTGTTTGCACGCTCAGGGCTACCAGATGATCGTAAAATAATCTGAAATGGTCTCAGACATTCTGGCGTGCTTTGCATAAGGCATCGTGAATGCATGCAATGAGCTAGCACTGTGGAACATGGATAGAAAGAGGTGTGTGTGGCACTATGCAGGTGTAGGTGGTCCATCTATTGACTCGTCATTATTTGCCATGGTGATATCTTCTACTCGATGTCGGGGGATTCATAGAGTTCTATGGACGTTATCATTATTCCTGATACTAGCGGGCGTTACACCCTCGTGATTCGAAATAACACCTCAGACTTTAGCAGATGCCGGCAGATAAGATTGATCAGAAATAAAGTGACAGAGGTATGGTAGATCTGCATCCTTGTGAGGATAATATTTTGGACCACTCTGTATATTTAAAAGCTATACAAGAGATAATCGTATAGAACTGGAGTGTTCAAAAAGCAAATATGCAAAATTAAACCTATGCGACCAAATTGTAACCAAATTTGTTAATTCATTGATTAAAACAAGAAAGATGTGGAAAATCAATAGGGTAACCTCTGGCTGGTAAATCTAAAGTGATAAACTTCAGGAGTCTTCGATAAATTTTCGCAGAGCATTTAAAATATTAGAACTGTTGTTTGTACCCTATGGACGAACGCAAGATCACAATAGTTACGATGTTAATGAAGGCATGCCCAGATTACGAAGCACTAATCTAAGGAAACATCACGAGGGGAAGGGGCAATGGTGGAGAGAAAATAGTTTCTTACCTTATTGCTTGCAAAAGGGCGAAAGATTCGTATCCACGCCAGCTTTATCAAAGTAATAAAAATTAAAACTTGTGACTCTGTACTGGAAGGTTTCTAGCTTCACTTCTCATAGTTGTGAAAGGCATTTACTCGTGTTTCATGGAAACTGTAGGTGTCTGAAACGATCAAGGGAAATGAGAGATAATTAACTCAATGTGTCATTACAAGGCGTTTGAATCTCGCTAGCCATTCGGTGATGTCTAGCAACAACATTGCCTCTAAGTGAACAGCCACATGCGGCACTCTATAGCCTTATAGTTGTATCTCTTGTGTTTAGAGAAAGGCGCAATTTTCGTTAAACGGGTCTAGGGGTGCTCGCATTCTTTCAATCTAAGCGGTAGCACAATTTTTAGAGACTTTGATAATTCAATGTGCTGATCACCATGGGCACACTAAACTTAACATTATAAGGTAACTAAAAGATTTTTTTGACACAGTGCTCAATGACTATACTCAGTTTCACACATCAGGTGCAACGCTGTGGATGCTATGACAGTAGTTTGGTCAGCAATGCGTATCACTTCACGAATATCGTAGTTGGCTCTTGTTGTAAACACTTGCGTGGTCTAAGCATCTGCCTCCGCATGACGCGTCCCGACCACCTGCAAAACAAAACACCGAAGAACGAAGACATAAAGACGTTAACCCATCCAGCCGTGTAGTAAAAACTGTACAGCAGGCTCGAATTACTTGTAGGTATGAAACATAGTCATTCAATGCCGAGTCTACAAACAAAAAGGAAACCTTATTTTGAGTAGTAACAGCAGTGGACTATTTTTCCTAATGCGAACATATGGACCGCAAGAAGTTTCACTAGCCTCTGCAGCCTTGTAGGTGATCTGTGAAACAGAGTATAGTCACTGTATGATTGCGGTTATTGCTAGCTTTTTCCTAATAAAACTGCCGTCTTAATTCAAGGCATCTAGTAGTAATCATCATTTTGTCTCCACTAGAGTTCTATATGCAGTATATTTAGACACATTTATTATGAGCGCATTCCGGAAAACAGACGGAGTGTCACACATATTACTTCTAACTTTGAAAGGGCCTTTCGCTCATTCATAGCGCCTGCTTCAACGATGCTCAGTAACAAGCCGTTTGCATAATGTTAGGCACGTTTTAGCACTGCTCTTATTTCTGAACTCAGAGGGAGCCAAAATTTTGGCATGTCTTTGGCAGAGGTAGAAATTTTCCACTGGGCAGTGTCTGTTATTTACATGCCTCTGCGTTTTTAAACTTATAATTGCGTAGTATATTTTGCAGAAAACTGTTGAGAGGAGTGTTGATAAGCGAGGGTGATACGTTTGCGGAGAATAAAGATAAATGCGAGAAACCGCTCCGAACAGCGGACTAAACTATTCGCACAATAGATTATGGAAAGCAGATGTAACCAAATTGTCCGATCAGAAGTCTCTTTCCACATGCACAGTCCTTATTTTAGTTCTTTTTTCTATTACAGTGAGGTTCTGCGTGCTACAGATTCTCTGTTGGTGACTGAGACCCGCAAAGTGGCTACTCCCGCTGGCTGGAAGGTGAGTGACTGAACTTTCGTTCATGACGACACAGGATGCGACATTGGTTTTACCCACTGTTATTACGCAGGTTCAATCACCTATAGGTGGTACAATGTCTCCAGAAGCGCAATGTTTGTTGAGATCGCATTCTTTGATGGTATTAGTGAGATAAGTTAGTAGAACTAAGTCGCAGTGCATATTGTAACTGATTTGTTAATAAGAATAAAAAAGTAAGATGCTGGCCAAAAAACTTTATGAATAACAAATACGTTTCGGCTCCCATACAGGGGTTACAATAACCCCTACAGGAGCCGAAACGTCTGTTTTTCTAGTGTTTTTTGTCCGGTGTCTTACTTTTACCTTTTGACCAAGATTATCCCGATCAGTTTTCGTTCAACTCTAGATTTCATTAACTGGGTCTTTATGATTCTTTCGTAATGTTTTTTTGTTTTTGTTACAAACTTTGCATACACCAATTTTATCTGAAGAGCACAAATGCTACAGGCTTATTTGCGAGTTTAGTGTCGTGCGTTCTCTAACATTAGGAGCGGTTAAGCATGAAAGAGAGTGAGCACATGGCACAGATTGCAGGGCTACAGCTTCCGCTAAGGTGACGTGTTTGCATTCTTTTACACTCTAGCAACTGCGGCCTTTTCGCACCACATTGCACTGTTACCCATACAAGGTTTCGAAGATGCGACGCTCTAACGCAGTAGGTTGGTGTGTTTTGTGTGCCGCTGCTGCTAAACAAACTGCCCGAGTACCGGCCAGTGCACAGGCTTAGCGTCGCCGACAATAGTAGCCTGCTATGTGGAAATTTCGTGTAAGGGAGTGTCTTAGTCGTCAGTGATTGTTTAACAAATGAATTCTCAGCCATCAGCTCCTATTTTAACCAGACACAATGACGGCGGGGGGGGGGGGGGGGGAGATTCTAAAATACACCCACCTGCGCTTACTTTACGTGCACTTAAATCCAAGTACTCGGTATTGTCACTTTTTAACCTCGTGAAAATGAGTGCCGAACCCGCGCCATCATGCTTCACCGGGCAACATATCCGCTGGAAGCCACAACGGCGATTTTTTTTATTTCAAAAATTTTTTTTAGTTCAGGTGTGTGTTCGCACAGTAGTAAAACTGACAAACACTTGTCAAAAACCTAGGTTATGTCAGTCAAGCAGGATAGTGCTTTAGAAAGTTTCCTGGCCGGCATGTCTGGATGCTCGCACAGACAGGGTGGTACTAGTGTGTTTATAATTTGAATAATGAATTTTTTTCCATCTCTACAGCCTAACCCGTTTATAACGAACTTGAAAGTGCCACAATAAATGGTTTTTCTATTGCTAGTTCGTTGTATATAGAGCCGCCCCGCAAAAACCTCCCCTTAGTCTCCAAACCTTTTTTTTTCTGTGTATTTTCATTCAAAAGTGTGAGCAACGTCCTCAGCTGACAAGTTAGGCCTTTACGCTTGTTAAATGACGCTCCTTTGCTCACGCATGAATTAAACCGCATTCGCGATAGAAACTCGCGCCATTCTCCCGATTTTACTGTGACTCAACTGAAGCGCGGTACTGCCACGTCGAACCAATCATCCCTGGCTAGTTGCGTTCAGTACATCGCCTACTCGGCTCTCACCGTCATATGCCAGAGTTCGCTTGCAGTCCAATATATGCACACGTTTGTGCATTCTTCGCGTAAGCTTCACTCAAGATTATGCCTGGGTGCAGCGAGTAGCCTGTTCCTTAACACAACGAATTTTGTGAGCAACGTGCGCCAGCGGTCTCGCACGACGCAGCGGTGGCGAACTTGCAAGCAGCAGCATGACGTGCTTGTACCGCAGTCGCTCCGTTGAGCAGCTCTCTGCAAGTGACTGTGATGAGGTTGCCGACGATGAGTCAATGGCACATTCATCGGCACCGGTCACCTTGCCATCGCTTTCTTCCTATGCTTATCCGTTAAGGCACTCACTTCTGTTCTGCCGGCTAAGAAACGTCTGGAAAGTGAGCGACCTAGCTTGCAACGGCGTATGGTGCTCCCCGCGGTCTACGATATCTTCGTCGCATATAACCTGCAATGGAGTACACCCGAGTGTGCACCTATATATTTTAGAATGCCCTTTTTAACATTTTTTTCTTGCTTCATTTGCGCCATATTTTTACCGTGACGGTGTTGAAAAAGTTCGTTCTATAAGTAGAATCCTTTAAAAAATGTGCGATATCTGTGAACTCGGTTTCGAAGGGTATCATAGAAAAATGACAAGTGCACCGAAATACGGTCGTTATATATAGTGAGAATATATTTGGTTGCTCAACGAGGCAGTCCGATGCAGTATATTAAAGACTACATTTATTAAAGTTGGTCAGTGTAGCGGATTTATTACCACCTCCGAGATTTCTTTTTTAATGGTGTTTCACGCATTTGTTACCTGATTTTAAACAAATCAAAATTGTGCTAACCGAGATGCCTTCTTCAGTTTTCTTGTTTATACTGTTGGTCCGTTGTAATTGCTTGTGTCACGTAGTCAATTGCTCTCAATGCAGAAAGGGACCCCCTGCATGGTGCTCCCTTCTGTCACCGATGAGGAGATCCCCCAGTTGTTCCCGACGGGCATCAAGCAGTACGATGTGCCTTCTGGAAAGAAATACCTGCGCACCACCATGGACTGAACACTCAATAGCCGGCTTTATATGCAACGAGCACTTTATGCCTTGTCTCTTCTATCTCTTTTTTATTTACACCCCTTGACTTCCATTTGCGGAGACTTCAGGCCATTCAAAATTTACGTGTCTTCTGTCGTTCCCGACGAAGCACGTTTTGTACGCCCAAATCTGAATAAACGTTTTACAATAATAGATATCTATGTATGCTCTCTAAGCGAAGGAGTTTTTTGCTGCGTATATATGTTGGCAATGCTTGTGATCATCGTTCAGAAGGTGGGGAGGGTATATTCATTTTTTCGAAAGGTTCAACTTCTGTGTCGCGTCATCACGTAAATCTGTGAATTATCTGCAATTAAAATTGGGCAGATCCTACGTATCTTGAAAATCGGTTATGCGAAAGATGCGGATGCAAGGTGAGTGTGTTTTAATTTTTTTTTTATTGAGAGAGTCGTTATGAATTAGTATTCAATGTGTGTACAAATCCACACACGCATACATAAAACAGCTGCATATGTTTTATCTTAGCATTTGTTTTCATCTCTGTAATGATGCCAAGAGCTACATGCATATTAGCAAGACCAGAAGCGGCAAGCTGATGTGAAGGGCTGGTTTTTGCACTGGGTCTCAAGAGGATGGTAGCCTTCAACACTGCTACACAAATCAACCTCTCCGGATGATGCCTAGTTACAAGTGGCATTGACTACATGACGGCTGTATCATAGGAGTGTACATTTACTGTTTAGGTTGATAGCCTGTACTGCAACCAGAATTAGCGTTTGTGGACATTAGGGTCTATTTCCAAAGTACATCAGATACCTGGCGTGGCTCTGTGGCAGAATACTTGATTGCCATGCAGAATACTTGGGTCTGATTCCTGCTGGGACACCGACATTTATTATTTGCATTCATCCGGTAAACGTTGCCTAGGTTAGCTTTTTCTTAAGGCTCAAGCATAAAAATTACGGATTTGTATTCTTGCCGTTCTAGAGTAGATCTAAAATATCTATAACCTATTTGCCACTGTTTTTGGAAAGTGTTTGACGATGTATGCAATAAGATTGCGACATTATTCATGCAATTAACAGTGCATCATATTCGTAAAACCATCTTATCCTCCCGTTCTAATTTTGGTTAACCCCAAGTTCAGGGGGCTTCATGAGAACACAGAGACATAGGCAGCTAGATAGATATAGATAGATATACATAGATACGCAGATATACTCCAAAAGAGCTTGCAACGCGCAAAGAAATGCTTTGCATTTAAAAGCTGGATGATGCGATATAGTGAATAGATCTGTTGAGAGCAGTGCTAAATCATTACCGATGCTGACAGCTCTTGATTGTTCAGTGTAAGAATTGTAAAATGTGGAATACGGATGCCTCTGGAAAATCCTTTGTTGAACAGTCTGAAAGAGCTTGTTGCCATTCTTTAAATTTTTGTTCTACTATCTACGTACAAAGTAATATTTCGATAGCGCTGCAAAATAATGCCGTTCTTAGAGTAATTATTTCTCAAATAAAAGTTTGAGTAATATTAGATAACAAAATATTGTCTACAAAGGCGTATCTTCTGGTGGGGAGCAAGGGGTGTGCTGGCCCCCCTACTTAGGATAGTAAAGGGGGCTGAGTGCCCCCACTTTGGGCAGTGGTCATTGTTGCCTGCCTACTGAAAAAACGAACCGAGGGAACATTCTTATTCATTGCAGCAGTCACGTAATTATATATAATGAAACTTCGTAACATATTTTTTTTCTATTTTTCTACTGAGAAGGTGTTGTTCTCGCTACTCGCGACTATGAACTTAAGGCTTTTTGCATTGGGGGCTGCTTATGCAACACTTTGCACCTTGCGCTTGGACATTGCAGAAAAAACTATTGCTCAGCAGAGGCTATAGATTGTTATACCACTCCGGCACTCTTTTACTGAGGTTTGCTTGACCTTAAATTTGCAGTGGCGCAGGCGGGAACCAAGTAAAAAACGCTTTATCGACCAATCGCGTTATGTTTCAGACTTTAAAAAATTATCTTTTCTATAGAAAACGAATTGAATCTCGGATCCCGTCTATTTGGCCGCCATGAGTCAATGAGCACGTAGAAGTGTTTTTTTTTTTGGGGGGGGGGGGCTCGAGGCGGGAGAACTAAAAATGCATTGTAATTTAGTCTCCAATTCGTCAGCGTCGCCTAACTTGTAGTATGGTATAAGTTCAAACAATTGTCGTGTCTTGCAAACAATGCAAGGCAGTCGAATCAAGCAAAGATGCGTGTTTATGCATCTTTGAAGCTTCCCCGCTACTTGATTGACCTTAACAGGGAGATAATGCACAGTTTTCTGGACTAGATGACTGCCCACCTGTGAATGCTCTCATCCGCTTCTAATCATGTTTATTTCTCCATACACACACACACAATCAGAGAGAGGTGCACATGCGCATATAAACGGCTCAACATGCATATATTATAACGGAAAATATTTACTAAAGGCACATGCGTCGCGTCCATGTCGCCAACTGCAAGAAAAGCCGCCGCCTGAATGATCGCCAGGAATCTTCCTTCAATTATGCTCCGTAGGAGACACTGTCCCGCAAAGCTGAGAAAACTACCCCTTATAGTCGTGCACTGTTTATTGTGCACATGTAATTTTAACGCAACAAGCTTTCGCAGATTTGTGGCATTGCGTATCACGCAGACGATTTCGCAAAAGAAACTTTTTTGCATTATAGGGAAAAATCATCTTAGTGAGGTGGTGCGCAAAAGAATAACACACGGCCAAGTAACGCGGACAAGACGCAAACTATCAACTCGGAATTTATGGAGAAAACGTATAATTGTGTTTCAATGATTACGTGTTAAAGTCGTGATCAAACAAAGGGCGCACCGAGAAGTCCAAATCTGAGGCAAGTAATGAGACAGAGGGTTTCGCGATGCAAGAATTACTTGGTTCGTGAATGGGATACAATTCAATTCATGCTACCATACCCTTCCTCTGGGAATGCGATGACGTGTCAGCAGTTAGAAAAACGCAAACTATGGAGAGAAATTGAAAAAAAAATGCGAAGAAAAATAAACAGCAGGAAAGGGAAATAGTGGTGAAGAAAAAAATAGAGGAATACAATTACCAGAAAAAAACACGGAAACGGAGAAAAACAGACGGGGCGAAAGATACAAAAAAGGCTGCCCAAGTCTACACTTACCCCAGGCTGGCACCATTATATTTGCGAAGTTGCTTGTTTGGCTGCAAAACCCACAATTTTCGTAATTTGGGACTTCGTTCACAATATGATCGTGGCTCTAGACCCCTATGTTTCAATCCGAAGTATCCTCTGATTCAATACCTTCTTACGTAGCAACTTTGCGATTGTGAGTGGTGACCATAGCTTTGTGAGAGGCCATGCTGATTTCGGCTGTCCACGAAACTCGTTTTTGTACCTTTGCGTCACATCTTTGCATGCTTCACGCTTGATGCGCTCTGAGGAACGTCTGAATTAAGCGGGTTGCGTACAAATTTCACCAAATCAATGAAAGTTCTGCCGCCATTAACACATACTCTGGCCGGGCCAAACAATTATCCAATTTTCCGAAATAACATGTGTCGAATTAACAAGCTTTTGCTGTACTAGATGTCTGTTACAGTTAAAAATTACCACACGGTTTATTTTCAAGGCTTCTCCGAAATACTAGTAGTCAGCTACATGACTCGTTTAGAAAGTGAAAGTTTAAGGCTTTAAGGCAATCGGAATTTAAGATGCTCTCCGTAGTTATCCTATTTACAATTATGATCTGATTCTAGTTTTCATACAAAACAGTCAGCGCGAAAAAGACCGAAATGTGGCAGGCACCGAGGAAGCGTTTTGGGAAGTGTTCAAGTCATAATTGGCGTAGGAGCGATTGTAAAAAAAAATGACAACACTAAATTTACTATTCATGTAGATGATACCTTTTGTGAAAAAATAAATAAATACAGACTTCACAACGAGAGGTAATGTGACCCAAATAGTTATAATTGAAAACTACCTAAAAGTATACAATGCTAAAATTTTTGTTGTTTGTGTCGTCTTGAATTGACTTGTGTAGTGCCAAATAAAACTCGGGTGGTGAACACACATACAGAGGAGACTGTCATCTAAGGTTTTATAGAGCACATTATTAACGTGCATTATTAACACGTTCGCTGTGATGTAGTTGTGGTTGCCAGTTTCGGTTTCATTTAAAGTATTTTCACCTTCAGGAGGCGCTACCCTGTGTATATTTGCGCGGCATTGTATATAATAAATGAGTTCCTGCTTGGCTACCGGCTACTGAGTACCTCGTGTCGGCCGGCGCTTCAGCGCCGTGCCCTGTGTGCTCCGTGCGGCGCGTTCGCCGCATGATACTACATTTTGGTGACGAGGATGGGATTTCTCTCCTGAGAAACCGTGGGAGAAGTTAGGCATGGAAATTATTGGTCCTTTTTCAAATGTTTCCTAAAATTGTTGCTGTGCAGTCACTTTAATTGACTATTACTCCAAATAGCCTGAGATTTGTTTCGTTCGAGACGTTATGTCTGATCAGTCATCACCTTCTTGACTTCAGTCTTCTGCCGTGAAGGTTTTTCAGCATGGTTAGTAAGATACAACGGTCCCCAGTTTAAGTCTCGTCAGTTTGAAACTTTTCTTTCCGAATGAGGTATTCAACACCTCTGTTCTTCCAACTACTATCCTCAAGCCAATGAACAGGTTGAGCGGTTCAACAGGGTCTAGAAAGAGTACAATCAACTAGCCCAACTAGACCAACATCCTCTAAAGAAGGCAACTACGGAATACTTGGGTACTTACCGTTATTCTGCTCATGCAACTACGGATTCGTCTCCCGCGATGTCGCTTAATAAGCGTCAACCTCGCACAACGGTTGACATAACTGATCTGCCGTTGCCTTCTAGATTTCAGTCATTTTCGGACAATACCATAAGGACGCGAGTTTTTCATAGGCAGAAGTACATGAAGAATTATGTCTCTCAGAAGCGAGGAGCCAAACTTCCGGTCATTCAGGTTGGTCAAAGAGTCAAAGCTCGTGTTCCAGGGAAAAAACACAAGTGTAGAGGTCCGTTTATCGTTATGTCGGCAGTGGAATCCCACGCATTTAAGCTCAGTGCTGGATTGGTTTGGAATGCTTCTAAACTTGTAATCTTCCATTCCGAATGGAAACCATGCACCTTCACA